TTTCTTTTAGCCAATGTGTATAAGGTAGAATAAATGGAGATTCTTGAAAAATTACCCTTTGGAGTTCGGTTGGAAAATTTTTTAAGGTCTCTCTTCTTCCTCTCCCAAAATAAAACAAAATATATATATATATATATATATATATATATATATATATATATATATATATATATATATATATATATATATATATATATATATATATATATATATATATATAAGAAAAAAAAAATATATATATAAAAGAGAAAAAGAAAAAAGAGAAAGAAGAAGAAGAGACTAGAAGGGAGATTAAAGGACTAGTTGTTGAATTTTTGTTTGAAAGCTCGATCCATTGTCTTAAGAGCAAAAGTGGAGACTTTTGAACTCTTAAAAATCGAGTTTATTAAAAGTCCTTGGAGGTGAATTCATTGTTTCAAACGCTTATCTTTCAAAATTTGGCGTAATCACCTCAATTCAAGAAGCATAGCCACCTATACCCATATCTCCTACCTCGAACCAAAAAGCCCAACATTTGAAAGCCAAAAAGTCCCAATGATCCCAATAGCTCAATTATTTGATACTAGCCGAGTAAAGAAATTTGGTGAGTCTTTGGAGTTGAATATTATTATGTAAGTATAAATTTTCTCCATTTTTAATGTACAAATATGGGATACTTGAAGCGATAGCATGGTTTGTGGTTTTTAGCAATGGTGAGTGAATACGTATCTTTGAATTACGAGCTTCTAATTTTTTGAGAATTGTCATGATAATTGCAAGTTCTGAAAAAATGAAAGTTAACCATGAATCTATGTGAAGAGAGGCATTTGTTGAGAGTGTTGCTGTGAAAGTTGCTAGTTTTTGCTTGAGGACAAACAAAAGATCAAGTTTGGGGGTGTGTTAAGTATATATTTTTATACTTTATCGTACCTTTTTATTTGAGCTTTTGGTGTGATTTAACGATAATTGGTGCTTAAAAAGTTGATTTATTGTATTTTAGGTATAAATTGAAGAATTGGAAAAGTTTGGGGTCAAAACTGCAATTTTGGAGAAAATATGGGCCAAAAGTGAAATAATCAAAAATCTGAAGAAATTGGCACAGGACGGCCGTCCCAAATTTACACCTAAAAATGGGACGGCCGTGCCAATAGCAGAAATTGGGCAGAAGGTTTCGGCGATTCTCGCGCGGCCGTGTGCGAATTGCACTGATTTTCGCGCGGTCGTGCCAACACACGCTGGAGACAATTTTGGACTTTTAATTACACAAGGAAACCTAAAATCATCTACCAAGTTGGGACATCTATTTAAGCCCAAACCAAGCACGAATTATAGGACTTTTGACACAACCTTGGAGCGAGAGGAGCGAGAGAACGAAGAATCGAAGACGGAGAATTGACAACTCTTCATCACAATTCTTCTTTTATCTATCTTTTCTTAATCTATTCTTTTTATGTTTTTATTATGTTTTTCGTAGAGAACATGAGTAGCTAAGTTTTTAATCTAGGATTTTGTTGGAACCCTATGTGGGGATTGTGAACTCGTTTTCTTGAGATTATGCAATTATGATTTTATGATTATTTCCTATACTTGTTATGATTGTTAGTGCATGAACTTGATCAATTTATGTGCTTTATCTGTGATTATTGGGATTGACTCGACAGAGCTATTTTGATAATTAGACGGTAAGTATAAGAACCTTCGAGTAGTTTTCACCGGATGAGTGTGTCAATAGCATGTGGTGTCGTAGACATACAGATATCACCTTAGGTAGCCATTTACGAGACTTGTTAGTTAATGCTTTATTCATAATTTGTTTGCATAGACATATAGTGAACCGTTTATGAATAATAGACTCATAATACACGCGACAGCGGGTTATGAGTAAATTAGTGTCTCGAGTTAATAATCATGAATCATTTTTTTCATAATTGAAAGGTTTTGGGTGAGCAATTCTTGCATAGGGGGAAGATAAAATCATAGGTCCGTTTTTATTGATATTTTCTCGTGTTTATTTGCTTTCATAATTAGTTTAATTATTTAGTTGATTAAATTTGACAACCTTGCGTAGGCTGGATAAAAATCATAATTGTTAGAATTTTGTACTTAGGATTAGATAATTTGAGTATTCCCTGTGGGATCGACATCCGACTCTCACGAGTCCACTTTTACTACTTGTTTGCGATACGTGCACTTGCGTGTTAGGTATTTAGCCCCAACAGCGTTCGAGGTGGCGATGCGAGCTTCATAGGACCAATGCGAGATATGAGAGGACTACAAGTCTCGAAAAATCCCGCTTTGAGGTAAGAAAACGAGCTCAGCAGCAAACAAGATCGTTAAGTAATCGCTTTTATAACTCTCTTTTATGTACGAGAATAACTCTGGCCTATTAAGAGCTTTTAAGAACTATTTCCCGGGTTTTGAAATTCAAGACAAAAATTCGAGCTTCAAGAAAGGTGATTAAGAGACTTACCTCAATGGGCATTGGGTCGGCGAGATTCAGTTAGAGAGCACCGAGATGGCAACGTTCGAGCCGGCGAAATCTGGCTCGGAGTTGTGGGAGAATTGGCATAGAAGTGTGAACAATGTGAACGCGAGCTCCCGGGATAAAGTAAGTTTTCAGCAATCTCGCCGAGGGGATAACTCCGAGCTTTAGGTAGAGAATGCGAGCTAGGAGAGAGCCCCATTTTAAGATAGAAATATGAGCTCCGATAAACCTGGTGGTGTTAACACTTGATCGCCTCGACTCGTAGCGATCTCCTGCCGAGGTGGAAACCTCACATCGCCATAAAGATATGGCTTGTATCTTCTCTTCTCACATAATCTCCTCTCGTAATAAATGTGAGCGACAAAATTAAAAGTCCAATTACCAGAAATGGATTTGAGGTGTGAGTTGTGAGTGCGAGCTTCAAGGTTTCGCCAGGCGTCGGATTCATTCGAGAACTCCGAACTTCAAGAAAACCCAGCCCGCTAAATCATGGAAATAAGCTTTGTGCTTTGAGGGATCTTCCGGGGTAGATGAGAGAAAATAGGAGCCGTTGAATTAATAAGCCATGGATATCTATTAATCAATATCGAGATCAGGGGTGAGATCGAAGCCTGTGGCCCCTGAGTACCCATGCTCAGATTTAGAGAGATGAGTTTTAGGCGTCCCGCCACCAATCGAGAAAAGGAAACCAAGTTGTCCAAATACGTCCCTCAGACGAATTCCGACTCAATGTGTGGCAACGGATGTGGTGCTGAGTAGAGAACCGAACTTGCATAAGTAATGGGTCCGACATGTTACGTTTAGCTCGACGGGCATCGGGTCGGCGAGACTTGGGTCAGAGGCAGGGGCGAGTCCACCCTTGGGCAAGGGTGGACTCAAGCCCACTCTCATTTTATTATTTTTCCCCCTATATTATACCATATTTCTATTTAGCCCACCCAAATTTTATTTACTAGCCCACCCAAAATTTCATTTAATACAAAAGAAGCCCCATATTTTATTAATTAGCCTACCCAAAATTTAAATTAATACAAAAAAGTCCCAAACTTTATTAATTAGCCCACCCAAAATCCAAATTAATACAAAAAAAAACTCTAAAATTTGTTTTTTTTCTTTTTTTTTCTCGTTTCTCCTTTTCCTATTTTCGAAAAAAACCTAAAAAAATCTCGGGGGCGCTGCCCCCGAACCCCCGAAAATTGAAGCCCCCCCTGTACTGAATTCCTGGCCTCGCCACTGGTCAGAGGGCACCGAGATGGCAACGTTCGAGCCGGCGAAATCTGGCTCGGAGTCTCCAACCAATCAATATGGACTTAAAGAATTCGTTTTAGGGAAAATAATGCGAGCTTGGGGAGCTCTCAACCAAAGAATAAATTTCCGGTTCGTAGAAAACCATATTCTCGCAACTTATGAATCTGAGTAATGCTGGGCTTTACAAAACCTGGGTTGTTCAGCTTCTCGAAATTTGAGCTTCAAAATGTGGTCCTTGTTAACTTGTAGAAGTCAACAGGTATCATGCATGTTGGTTTCATAAATTTACTGAGTGTCGAGCTCATTCGGGATATCTGAGCTATACAAGAGGAATGCGAGATGTAATACGGGCCCCTAGAGAATCGAACGAGGAGATAACCCCGAGCTCAAGGGATCGAGCGTCTTGTTTTTAGTACGGAATAACCATATCGTAGATTGAGCTCGCAGGGTGATCATGAGACACTTGAGCTTTCGTAAATCCATGCTCGAGTATGAGCCCAATGCGATCTAGAAAAGAACTACAAGCTTTTAAAAAATCCAACTTTGAGAGGAGAAAACGAGCGTCAAGCAGCAAGAGCGATCACCAACTACTCGCTTTCGTGTTCGAAATATAACTCTGGCTTTAAGAGTTTTAAGAAATACATTCGATCTTCCCAGAATTTGAGCTTCAAGAAATAAATTCGAGCTCCAAGAAGAGTGAACTTCAATGAATTTACACCTCGGAGAAATTTGTAACAGCCATAGGCCCATAAGCTCTTCAGGGAGATTGGACTAACAGATTGATAGCAAGTTCTTTTTTGGGAAATCTAATAATCTCGAGCTCCTTTGTAACATCTTGTAGAATTCTTGAACATAAAATTTTCATCTTCAGGTGCTAGGAAGGAATATATTCAAGCTCTGTAAATGTGTGTTTCCGACAATCCAATTGTAAGTAATATATTGGTGCTCCAAGCAATATGCGAGCCCCGAGAATCCCTGGCTTAGTTAGAGCTGCTTAAAATAGTTGTGCTCTTCTAGAAACTGGAGGAAAATAATTTGCAAGCTCCAAGACCAGCAGGCTAGTGAATGGTTTGTACAGAGCTCTTGGAGAGGTTTGTCCCATCATTGAGCTCGCGACTTCGAAATATCCATCTCGTGATAAAAAAAAAAAATTAGATTTTTCTTATTTTCTATCAATCCCATTGTAGATTTCACATTGACAATTATGGGTTGAGGTTGCTTCTGAGCCCAGAGGAGATGTAACTTTCATTGATCTGGACATATGTCTATACTTTACATTTTGTTCAACTTATCCACCACTCGTGATATCTCCGATGGGTGAAATTTCTATCAATCCCATTGTACGAAGACCATTTCCAAATGCCATTTTACGAAGACCATTTCCAAATGCCAGCCCTTTATGCATGTGACCAAACACTACCAACTTGATAGACAAGTTGGTGGTTTGTTTTAGGTAGGATATTGCATGTGCTAAATCTGCATATAAATTGCTTTATTTATTTATAATCATAGACCAAAAAAATTTCAGTGTGTCCGCATATCAAAACCATGTTTGCATGTATATACACAAATAGAGAAACAAAGATTCAGAATTACCAGGATCGCCATGGTCACCGCCTTCACAAACAAAATATTTTCCGCATATATTGTCTACATTGGAACCGAGGCCTGCATGAAATTCGCAATTCTGATTTATACAGATATCTCTCTGAAGTACGATGTAAACAAAGCAGATTTTTCTTCACAAATTGATACCTGTGGGCCCGTTATGCGCAAGAAATATAACTGAGTGGTCATCAGGGGTTCCTAAAGCAGCTTCGTGAATCTTCTCTGTGCTTTCATTCATATCATGGACACCGTATCTAGGAAAATAATTGCAACATGGATAATTTGGATATAGTCCAGACCATATTATATGATTTTTTTTAATTACAAATTTTGAAAAAATAAAATTATGTAATTTGTTATTGTAAGATACAAATGTTTTTTAATACATCTTATAAGAATATACAACTTTCTTCATAAAATATTAATCGATCAAAACAAACACGAGGCTTAATAAAATATATTCCATTTAAAAGATTTATAAATTTATTTAAAAGATTTAGAGGTTTATAATCTTAATTTACTTGATAAGCACTTCAATCAATCTTTTCTTTTTATATGAATCTTCAATTTTCTTTTAACAAATAACACATTCCCATGTCTTTTAAATGTACGATGATGCCAGAGTGCAGCATAAAAAAATTTAAAAAATGACATTTTAAAGATAACTAACCTAGAAATAAGAAGTTTCTTCCGAAACATATGCTCACCACCACATGAAAATGGCCGTCCACCAACTACACTCAACTTCAAATTTGGAAAATCCATCCGTCGATATCCAACATGCTCATCACCAAGTCTGATTATCCACACAATGTTCCATGATAGTGAGAATTTTAGTGAAGCATATTGTATAAAAAACCTATGAAATTTTAAAACTAATGCAAAACCGCGAACACGAGAAAAACTGCAGAAACTTCAAATTTTAGAGAAAAAAAAAATATATGATCAGAACTTACGATTCAAGCTGCAGTTGAACACCATCCTTTTCCCTGCATTAAATTGCTGTCACAATCACAACGAACATACTACATATATACAATGGATGGAAGCGAAACACTGTAAATAGAAGGATGACAGGACAATGGCATCCAGCAGAGCAAAGATGTTGAGAGTGTTGCTGTGAAAGTTGCTAGTTTTGCTTGAGGACAAACAAAAGATCAAGTTTGGGGGTGTGTTAAGTATATATTTTTATACTTTATCGTACCTTTTTATTTGAGCTTTTGGTGTGATTTAACGATAATTGGTGCTTAAAAAGTTGATTTATTGTATTTTAGGTATAAATTGAAGAATCGGAAAAGTTTGGGGTCAAAACTGCAATTTTGGAGAAAATATGGGCCAAAAGTGAAATAATCAAAAATATGCTGAAATTGGCTGAAAACAGGCCCGCACGGCCGTGCCAAAATTTGCCTATTTTTGGCACGGCCGTGCCAAATGCTGAATTTGGGCAGAAGGTTCGGCGATTCTCGCGCGGCCGTGCGAGAATTGCACTGATTTTCGCGCGGCCGTGCCAAATCACGCTGGAGGCAATTTTGGACTTTTAAACACACAAGGAAACCTAGAATCATCTACCAAGTTGGGACATCTATTTAAGCCCAAACCAAGCACGAATCAAAGGAGAACTTTTGGACACAACCTTGGAGCGAGAGGAGCGAGATAACGAAGAATCGAAGACGGAGAATTGACAACTCTTCATCATAATTCTTCTTTCACCTATCTTTTCTTAATCTATGACTTTTATTACTTTTATTATGTTTTTCGTTATGAATAGCTAAGTTTTTAATCTAGGATTTTGTTGGAACCCTATGTGGGGATGGTGAACCCGTTTTCTTGAGATTATGCAATTATGATTTTATGATTATTCTTCTACTTGATATGATTGTTAGTGCATGAACTTGATCAATTTATGTGCTTTATCTGTGATTATTGGGATTGACTCGACAGAGCTATTTTGATAATTAGACGGTAAGTAGAAGAACCTTCGAGTAGTTTTCACCGGATGAGTGTGTCAATTGCATGTGGTGTCGTAGACATACAGATATCACCTTAGGTAGCCATTTACGAGACTTGTTAGTTAATGCTTTATTCATAATTGGTTTGCATAGACATATAGTGAATCGTTTATGAATAATAGACTCATAATACACGCGACAGCGGGTTATGAGTAAATTAGTGTCTCGGGTTAATAATCATGAATCATATATTTCATAATTGAGGGGTTTTGGGTGAGCAATTCTTGCATAGGGGGAAGATAAAATCTTAGGTCCGTTTTAATTGATTTTTTCCCGTGATTTTTTGCTTTCTTAATTAGTTTAGTTGTTTAATTGATTTAATTTGACAAACTTGCGTAGGCTGGATAAAAATCATAATTGTTAGAATTTGGTACTTAGGATTAGGTAATTTGTGTATTCCCTGTGGGATCGACATCCGACTCTCACGAGTCCACTTTATTACTTGTTTGCGATACGTGCACTTGCGTGTTGGTATTTAGCACCCAACACCATACTTGATTGGTATGCTAGAGTATGACTTATATACAAAAGCCTATCTACATATTTACGGTAATACAATAATTCTAGCTAAACATATGCATCAGTTACAATAATTACAAATCTTTATCAATTTATTTTGAATATTCTTGCTTGATTGTTGTCACAATGAACTCTTGCCAATCTTGACCTTAATTCTTGCAATCCGTCTTTATATGCCCCCGCAAGATTGAGCTTCCATCGGCAAGCCCAATCTTGTTTCGCAATATTTCGGTCCTTTGTCTTGACAATGGTTTTGTCAATAAATCGGCCAACTGATCTTGCGTATGAACATGACGGACGTGAAGTGAGCCTCGTTGAACAAGATCACGAACAAAATGAATATCGATTTGTATATGCTTCATGCGTGAATGATGAACTGGATTGAAACTTAAGTGCGTGGCACCAAGGTTGTCACATAGTAGCAATGGAGTTTCTTTTAATGGATAACTTAACTCATGAAGAAGCGCTTGAAGCCACATTGTCTCGGAAGCCGCATTTGCTAGAGCTCGGTATTCAGCCTCAGTGGTGGACCTTGCAACTGCTCTTTGTTTCTTTGAGCTCCATGAAATAGGATTCGGACCTAAGAAGCTCACATAGGCAGATGTGGATGTACGATCATCAATATTTCCAGCCCAATCGGCATCGGAATAGGTAATTAAAGCAGAAGATCCAAACCTTCTAAGTTGTATACCGTGGAAAATGGTTTGCTTTAGATACCGGAGAAGCCTTTTCGTTGCAGCCAAGTGAATGGTGATCGGCTTATGCATGAATTGAGACAACTTGTTGACCGCGAAGGAAATATCTGGACGTGTTAAAGCAAGATATTGCAGGCTGCCAATAACCTTTCGAAATTCCGTACTGTCGACACTTGTTGTGCCATCAAGTAACTTGAGAGATTGAGTTGTCGAAAGAGGAGTGGAGACATCTTTAGCACCACTCATATTGGTTTTGGACAATAACTCTCTAATGTACTTGTGTTGTGAAAGAAAAATGCCTGCTCGGGTAGGGATAACTTCCACGCCTAGAAAATAATGAAGCGGACCTAAATCCTTGAGAGAAAACCGATCTCCCAATTGCTTGATAATTGAAGCCACAAAACTTTTGTTATTTCCTGTAAGCACAAGATCATCAACATATACGAGGAAGTAACAAATTATTGAGTCCTTCTTATAAATAAATAAAGATGAATCAGCTCTAGAGTTCTCAAAACCAAGCTGAAGCAGTACGTTTTTCAATGTGAGATACCAAGCTCGCGGGGCCTGTTTAAGCCCATATATTGCTTTTCGGAGCTTGCAAACGTGATTGGGTTTCGATTGATCTTTGAACCCCGGGGGTTGCATCATATATATACAGTTTCAGACAGTGCACCATGTAAAAATGCGTTGTTAACGTCCATTTGCCTTAAAACCCAACCATTCATAACAGCAATAGATAATATTATTATAATTGTAGCTGGTTTAACGACTGGGCTGAAGGTTTCTTTGTAATCATGTTCGGGACGTTGATTATAACCCTTTGCAAATAAACGGGCTTTGAAACGATCAATTGTACCATCAGATTTCCGTTTTACTCGGAATACCCATTTACAACCCACAAGGTTACAATTTATAGGACGTGGTACTAAATCCCAAGTTCCATGTTTCATGAGCGCTGTTAGCTCAGTTGACATAGCATCACGCCATTGTGGTTGAGATAAAGCCTGACTCACACAAGTTGGTTCAATGGACTCGGGGAGGGGATGTTTGGACACAGAGTTAATTTGTTTTGGTTTAAAAATTTGGTTCATAGATCTAGTGGTCATTTTGTGAGGATGTTGAATGTGTGGGTTTGGGTGAATTTCGGTTTGGCTATGTGATTTGTCATTGAGTAAGATCTAGTTGGACTCATTTACACTAGTATTTGGAGATGATGAGATTTGGTTCAAGGAATTTTGAACAATGTTGTCAGGTGAAGTATGAAAGGAAGAAGGAGAAGAGTTAATGCGATTACCTGAGGAGTTTGTGTCGATGGCAGCCACATGTTCCGGAGTCATGGATGAGGGCGATGGAGCAGACGGTATTGACGAGGGCACACGCGTGACTAGAGTGTCAAAAAATAAAGAGTTATTTGGAGATTTAGGTGTGTGGGTGTTTGAATCAGGGAAGATGGGATTGTGTGATTCATCAAATATTACATGCCTGGAAATGTACACCTTATTAGTTTGGAGATGAAGGCATTTATAGGCACTTTGAACTTGAGAATACCCAATGAACACACACGGTAAGGATTTGGGCTGCATTTTATGAGTGTTGTATGGACGGGTGAGTGGGTAACAAAGACAACCAAATTTTCTCAATTTGAGATAATTTGGTTTTGTACCAAAAAGAGCTTCAAAGGGAGATATATTTTGAAGAAGAGAAGTGGGTTGCCTATTAATTAGATAGCATGCGGTTTCAAAAGCATGAGGCCAATAGGAAAAATGTAAGGAAGCATCGTGGAGAAGAGTGAGACCTGTTTCAACTATATGACGGTGACGACGTTCGGAAACACCATTTTGTTGCGGGGTATGCGGAGCGGTAGTACAGTGACCAATGCCACTGGCCAATAAAAATGATTTTAGGGCGATAAATTCACCACCATTGTCAGAGTACAGGTTTTTAATTTTGGTTTGAAAACGATTTTCGACAAATTTTTTAAAGTGCGGAAAAATTGTGGCTACCCCAGCTTTAGTAGTCATTGGATAGAACCACATGTATTTTGTGAAATAGTCAACCAAAATAAAATAATACCTTGACCCTTCAATGCCAGTATAATGTGCCGGTCCCCAAATATCAGTGTAAATAAGTTCAAGAGGTGCGTGACTTTGAAGACTATTGGAACGAAAAGGTTGTTTGTGTGCTTTATTTATGGAACATGAACTACACAAGTGAGTGACATTTTTTTCTTGAGTAATAGGTAGGGAATTTTTTTTAACTAGATGATGGACAATACGAAGAGATGGATGCCCAAAACGCTTGTGCCACCCGTCAATTGAGGTCCGTTCATGCACATTAGCAACCATTTTGGAGGAAGAAGACACCATTGACCCCGGAAAAATGTAAACCCCATCTTCACATGTTCCTCGAAGTAGAATCGCCTCCGTAGTCTTGTCCTTCACAAGGAAATGAAACGGGTGTAATTCAATAAAAACATTATTTTGTTTGGTTAGGTGGTGAACATAAATTAAGTTTTTTGAAAGATTTGGAACACAAAGGGTATCATTTAAGATAAAAGTGCGTTTAGGTGAGTTTAAGCATCAGATATTTTCTCGGAGAACCGATATGTGAGACAGGCAAACCTGAACCATCTCCAAGAATTACTTCATCAGTACCATCATATTCAGAGTGAATGGACAGATTGGCAAGATCACCCGTTATATTATGAGACGCCGCCGAGTCCAAAAGCCATGGTTTGTCTTTTCCATTGGAAGTAGTTGTGCAATTAGCTGTGAATCCATTTGACTGAATTCGGGGACAAGACTTTGCAGTATGTCCCATTTGTTCACAAAATTGGCAGCGAGGATTGTAACGTTTATGGTTGTTGCTGGGTTTGCTAAATCCATTATTGGCACGTCATATATCACGTTGGTAGCCATTTGATTGGCGGGCTGAGCTTTGGCCATGAGTACGGTGATTCGCGTTCATTTTATGAGACCTCTTGGAGAAGTCATCTCCGGAGAAAGATTTCCCCTTAGACGTGTAGGTTGCTGTCATTACCATTTGCTGAGTAGCTGTCTCCAAACGTCGAAGATAAGATTCGTGACCAACCAAGAGGTCGTGTAGCTCTTCAAACACCATTGAGTTTTCCCGGGCTCGAATTGGTGCAGTTATCTCCCGAAAATCAGATCCTAACCCATTCAACACATAGAGGGTTAAATCGTCATCTGAGATGGGATGATCGATAATGGCGATTTCATCAGCCAAGGCCTTCACAGCGTGGAGATATTCTGTGATCGGCCGATTTCCACATTGGATTAAGGTGAGTTCCTCTTTCAATTGCATAGCACGAGTTCGGGATCGGCTAGCATACAAGGTTTTTAGCTTTTTCCAAGCTTCGTGAGAGGTTTTTGCCGTAGCAATGAGTGGTGTAATTGACGGGGAGGTCGAAGCTAGAAGGGCACTTAGGATAAGTTTATCCTGACGAATCCAATGGTTCTTGCGCAGCAGATCGGCAGCGGCACCAGTGGAAGAGGGGCACAAAAAAGTGCCTTCGACATAGTCGATTAAATCGTAGCCAATGAGGAGTGCTTCGAATTGAGCACGCCATTGCGGGAAGGTGGAGGGAGTTAATTTCTCGTTGATTTGGGCAGTAATATTGAAGGCAATGAGTTGTTTTTCTGTGGCAGAGGAGGATTGCGGGTTGAGGGTAAAGGTTGGAGTTTGATCGGAAGAGGAAGACATATTTGGAACTTAGATCGTTGGCTCGTCAGAGATTGGCTCTCTTGATACCATATAAAGGAATAAGAATTGCTCAAATGTAAAGAGATAATTTTCCCATACTTGATTGGTATGCTAGAGTATGACTTATATACAAAAGCCTATCTACATATTTAGGGTAATACAATAATTCTAGCTAAACATATGCATCAGTTACAATAATTACAAATCTTTATCAATTTATTTTGAATATTCTTGCTTGATTGTTGGCACAATGAACTCTTGCCAATCTTGACCTTAATTCTTGCAATCCGTCTTTATACAATGCAACTAAAGTGCAACAAGAGAAATTTAATTGATTATACTTTCTCCTTCGACAAAGGAATTTCCCGATAAGCAGTGGCACATAGGGTGGTTTCTTCCATTTTTTGGTTTTCCTAAAATACCCTCCAAAACAACCAATAGCTTAAGGACACATCAAGGGTAAAAATAAACTTCTACCTTATTTTTTTTATAATAATAATAATAATAATAATAATAGTAGGGGGGGGGAATAATAATAATAATAATAATAACAATAATAATAATAATAATTATAATAATAATAATAAGAATAATAATAATAATAATTATAATAATAATAATAATAATATTAATAATAATAATAATAATAATAATAATAATAATAATAATAATAATAATAATAGTAATAATAATAATAATAATAATAATAATAATAATAATAATAATAATAATAATAATAATAATAATAATAATAATAATAATAATAATAATAATAATAATAATAATAATAATAATAATAATGTAACACCCCACCTTTCCAAAACCCGAAAATCCTAAAACCCGAGACTAATATTTCTAACTCGAGAACCCTCAAGGAATATTATTACGTGATATTGGCATTACGTGAATTTAATTATGTTACTTATGTGAATAATTACGTGCGCTATTATATATGTGATTTATATGATTTAAATTCCCGTAAATTAAAATACTATGGAATTTCGTGAATTATGTGGCTTATGTGAATAATTGCATATTTTATTTGTGTGATAAATTATTTGAAACTCGGTAAATTATGTGGATTATATATATATATATATATATATATATATATATATATATATATATATATATATATATATATATATATATATATATATATATATATATATATATATATATATATATATATATATATATATATATATATATATATATATATATATATATATATATATATATATATATATATATATATATATATATATATATATATATATATATATATATATATATATATATATATATATATATATATATATATATATATATATATATATATATATATATATATATATATATATATATATACACACGTACATACATGCATACATACATATATGCTAATACTTGCATTATACATTAGAGTGTATTTACATATGTGTGTGTGTATGTCCGATAAGTGGAATCAAACCACACACTCTTCATCTCATTTTTTGGGTACCAGTCCCTCATACCCCGTGCTTATTCGATCTATGTTTTACAAGACTTTCCAATTTTAAAAACGTGCAAGTGAGGTACATACTTTCATTCATTTCAAGCAATTTGATTAGGTGTGTGAGAAAACATTTTTCGTTCGGATATCCTTTGAAAAATCAAGTAAAACCATAGACTATAAGCCTTCATTTATTTGGAACCCGTTTCATAACTGGAATCAAACCACACACTCTTCATCTCATTTTTGGGGTACCGGTCCCTCATACCCCGTGCTTATTCGATCTATGTTTTACAAGATTTTCCAATTTTAAAAACGTGCAAGTGAAGTTAGTATATATTTTTCATTTCACATATTCAAAGTTAGCTTTCACATAAGTACACATATTTCCACATATTTCACAAAGGCACATAATTTAGTCACAAAATCACAAAATCAAGTCAGACACATAACAACTCAAGCAAAGAACATAGATCACATATTTACACATATAGCAAAACAACTCAAAGCATTCGGTTATTTGTAATTACTATCTCCAAGTTTCATTATTTAAAGTTCAAGCCCTCTTTCTCAAGAGACTCAAAGTTTTCTTTCAAGTAGCACCAAATTTCCATTTAATTCATTTTCTTTCCAAAATATTTATTAATCTTGTCCTCGGTTTTTACTTCGTATATTATCTTATTACTCATAGATCATAAACCATGGATTGCAAGCTTCCTCGACCCGAAGGGAGTACACTTACAACCGCGTAGGTCAATATATATATACACATAGAAACATATACTTATATATATAGCACATATACATTAAAAATAAACCATGGATCAAGTACTTTCTTCGACCACGCAGGTTTACGAAAACCATGGATCGAAGTTTCCTTAAGATCACGCAGGTCTAGTATATATATATATATACATACATACATAAAAATAAAATCACAATATTATTCTTAGTTCTTCAAGATTATATCATTTAAAGCTTAGATTCTTACATGCATGGATGATCAAAGCATAAATTAAACACAAAATTTTATTTTCTTTCTTCTTTAGTTTTTGGTCACCACAAGAACATTAACAAGAAATTAAAGAGAAGAAAAATACTATTGGTGTTGAAGCACTTGTAGCAAGAATTCGAAAATTCTCACCTTAATATTCTTAGAAAATTGGAAGGATGTTCTTTCCTTTTCCTTTGGCCAAGAATTTTACTCTTGAAAGGGAGATTTTGGGGCTTTCCTACACTATAATTTCGAAAATGGAGGAGAAGAGAAAGAGATTTTGATCTTTGATCTTTAGGATGTGTGGAGGATATGAGAAAATAGATGAAGGCTTGGGTTCTATTTATAGAGGTGTGGGAGACTTGCATGCTTAATGATTAAGGAGTGGTCTTTTTGCAATTTAGGCAAACTTGGGGATTATCTAGAGGGACTTCTTTGCAATTTCATTTAACTATCCAAAAAGAAATTCAAAAAAAGGAAAATCTTAATACACATGGGCTCTCCTAGAGGAGGGTTGTACTCAAGGAAAATTTTGGTCTTGTGTTGTACCATGGTCAAGATTGAGGGATGAATAGGAGGAATTTTCTATTTTTATTCAAGCAAATATGTGATTTAAAATTCTCCTAACGAATGGGTACTAGCAATATAAATGAGTATGATTAATCTCTAGATATAATAATTAACTAATAGGATCAATTTAAATCCGTCCAAAATTATTTTTGGCCCTAATGCATTCTATATGAAATTTTACCGGTTATCACATAAATAAAAATCTTAAACTAATAAACGCACATAAGAGATAAAATCACGTTAACTAAATAGATGCAAATTAATAAAACTTAAATTATCGGAGACGCGGGGTGTTATAATCTCCCCCCCTTAAAGAATTTTTTTCCCCGAAATTTGTACCTTTCTTTATTATGTCCAGGTACCGACTCTCAATCTCATCCTCGAGTTCCCCCGTTGCCTCGTCCGGAGAATGGTTTTTCCAAAGAATTTTGATAAGGCGGATTTCTTTATTTCGGAGTTTCCTAACTTTTCGGTCTAGAATTTAGGTGGGTTCTTCAATAAAGGATAGGTTTGGAGATAAGTCTACGGGTTCGATTTTGAGGACATGGTCGGGGCTAGGAAGGTATTTTCGGAGCATGGATACATGAAAGACGTTGTGTATTCGAGATAGATGTGGTGGTAGGGCAAGGCGATAGGCTTGAGTACCAATTCGGTTGAGAATTTCGAAAGGTCCAATATATCGAGGGCTTAGCTTCCCTCGTTTTCCGAATCGCATAATTCCTTTGAGTGGAGCGACTTTTAGAAATACGTGGTCGCCAATATTGAATAATAAGTCTTTTCTCCTTTTATTTGCGTATTTTTTTTTGGCGATCTTGGGCCGACTTCATTTTCTCCCGGATGTTTTTGATTATGTCGACGGTCTGTTGGACTAGTTCGGGGCCCAATAATTTTCGCTCGCCGACTTCGTCCCAATGGATTGGAGATTGGCATTTTCTTTCGTATGATGCTTCGTATGGTGCCATTTCGATCGACGATTGGTAACTATTATTGTACGAGAATTCGATGAGCGGTAGCCCGCTTTCCCAATTGCCACCAAAATCCATTATGCATGCTCGGAGCATATCTTCGAGAGTTTTCATCGTTCTCTCGGATTGACCGTCGGTTTGGGGATGGTATGCCATACTAAAGGCTAGACGGGTCCCCATTGCCTCGTGCAAGATTTTCCAAAATTTTGAAGTAAATCGAGGGTCTCGATCGGAAATGATTGATATAGGAATCCCGTGGAGTCGAACAATTTCTCGGATGTAAAGTTCGGCTAGCTTTTCGAGACTAAAGGTAGTCTTGACCGGTAGAAAGTGAGCGGATTTGGTTAGGCGATCAACTATCACCCATATTGAGTCGAAACCTTTTTGAGTTTTCGGAAATTCTTGAACGAAATCCATGGTTACTCTTTCCCACTTCCATCCGGGTATGAGGTTGGCTTGAAGGAGTCCGCCGGGACATTGGTGTTTCGTCTTGACTTGTTGACAAACTAGGCATTCGGACACAAATTTGGCTATGTCTTTCTTCATTCCGGGCCACCAATATAATATTCAAGTCTTGGTACATTCTTGTTTCACCCGGGTGGCAAGAGTAGGGGGTTTTGTGAGCTTCGCCGAGAATTAATTCTTGTATCTCTTTGTTTGCCGGAACGCAAATTCTTCCTTGGAATTTTAAGACTTTGCCGTCGAAGATCGAGAAATTGGGATTTCGATCGGTTGATAAGCTTTCTCGGATTTTTAGAAGTTGATCATCAAGGAGTTGAGCGGATTTGATAGTTGACTCGAGCGGCGGTTCAATGATTAAAGCGCACATGGACTTCTGGCTAAGAGCATCGGCCACGACATTAGCTTTACCGGGGTGGTAAAGTATTTCGCAATCGTAATCTTTGACCAATTCGAGCCATCGTATTTGTCTCATGTTAAGTTCCTTTTGGGTGAAGAAGTACTTTAGGCTTTTGTGGTCGGTGAAGATCGAACACTTCTCTCCGTAGAGATAGTGCCTCCAAATTTTGAGGGCGAAAACTACGGCGGCAAGTTCCAAGTCGTGCGTCGGGTAATTCTTCTCGTAATCTTTCAATTGACGAGAGGCATAGGGAATTACGTTCCCATTTTGCATCAAGACGGCTCCAAGTCCATGCTTGGAAGCATGGCTATAGACTACGTAGTTTCCGGTTTTGTCGGGTAAGGCAAGAATGGGGGCTGAAGTTAATCGATTCTTGAGCTCTTGGAAGCTAGAATCACATTCGGTGGTGCA